ACGTAATAAATAGTTCAACATAAAGTGTACCATTTAAAATAAAATAAAAAAAGTGCCAGTGATTGACCTCAATCCCTCCTATTCTTCCAATATCCTGATGAAAAATAAAATCTCTCTGTTGCATAGGCCACTGTTTGATCAACGCGAATTGGGTGTGGGTCCTTGTACTCCGAGTCGGGCTAACGTCCGCGCTAGCTTCCACGCTAGCTGCTATATGTTTTGCATTGAGGTGATACTTGAGGCTTGATGTGCTGCGGTGATATGCGAATTCCTTTTTGCATAATTTGCAAACAACCGTGCTCTTATTGACGCTTCATCCGTCCGTTTTTTAAAACAACGTCCGTTTTTTAAAACAAAATGTCCCATTCACGGGGCCAACCAAAGCGGTCTCATCAGCTTCTTCGTTCATGTTTGACTATTGTTCACTGTGGTTTGTTGTTGTCTGAAGTAATGAACGTTAGTTGGTGCTCCAGTATAATCGGTACCCCTGAAACTCATCCAGTGAGAAACGTTCCGCGGTGCAAAAATAAGTGCGATTAAAATGCGTTAATTTTTTTAACGCGTTAATTTTTGTGTAATTAATTAATCTTAATTAACGCGTTAAAGTCCCGGCCCATATATATATGTTGAGTATTTGTAGTGACAAACTGAAATAGATATTTTACCTCCCTCAGCCATTTCTCCTGAGGAGGTTTTTGGCTCATGATTTGCTTTAACTGTAAGTAACTCTATAGTTTTGGTTCACTATCACCACGAAAATAAACCATGCTTTCAGGCAGAGACCCACGACAAACATACAGATCTCAGTGCAGAGATATAGAGTCACACTCACCAGGTGGCCAGACACTCAGCTCCAAATGAATACAAACATATAGAGGTAAATGAGATTGAGAATGTTTGCTGACAAGCTTACTGTACTTCTCTTCATCAGTGTTATGGCATTGTTTTGTTTACAGTTTGTTTCCACCACCAAGTTTCAAGAGTAGTTCATCAGAAGGACAGTCCTGTGAAGCCAGCTGTCAGACAGGAGGACAGCAGACTCAAACACTGGCTCTGTCTTTAGCCTGCCGCTAACCCCAGCAGCCCTCAGACACTCAATATATTTGAAGTGTTATCGGAGAGACGTGTACACATTATAGTTATTGAGAATGAGTTTATTCCAACCAGAATGTGACCATGTGATGCCGTATCTAATGTATCATAAACACCATAGAATGTAGATACACTTGTGTAGAAAGTATATTGATCCAATTGGTCGCTCTCTATTCAGACTTTTGAGAGACAATCAGAGTTTTATTATTACCTGATCCTAACCCACCCTGTCTCAGTTTACTCTTGATCCAGGGCAGCAGCAGCCTGACATCAGTGAAAACCCCCGGAGATCCTCTCCTGGCGGGGGGGCGGCTGCTGTTCTTTCCCCAGCTCCGACCGCATCCCTTCCCCCAGGAAGTCACACCCAGTGCTACCCAGCGGCCCTCGCCTGAACCTGCAGGGCAAACCAAAGGCCCCCCCGAGTCCCCCTGCAGAGAGGATGGAGGGAGGAGTCATAACATGACCAACCTTTCACAATGTGATGACTGATTCAGAGTTCACAGACTTCAGGGAAGCTCCACTGCTCTTGAACTAAATGTAGAATGATGGTGAAGCAGATCTTCTCTTTATACCTGGCAGGCGTCTCTCCCCCCCCCCTCTGGCCCGGCACACAGAACGGTCATGGCAGGCTGAGGCCGGGCTGGTCTCTGGGGACGAGTTGAGCTCCTGACAGTGTGGAGGACATATTGACATTTGGCCGGATCCACCAGGTCTAACTTGACCTCTCTCAGCACCGCAGGAACACGGCCCTCTAGGACACAGTCAAATATATTATAATTATATTCGACTAAAGAACAAGTTGATTTACAGTATTTGGTGGGGGAAATACTAACTTTCCTTCATCCGGCCCCATCCACCCATGATGCAACTGGTTCCCGGTTGGATGCTGTCATCGGCCAAAGGCAGACATATTGGCTGAACATGGGTTCCTGTTGAAAAAAAACACAGAGCAAAACCTTAATGAAACACGCCCAAATAAAAAATAAATATTTGTTCTCTTTCCTCTTACTACTGTATTTCCCTCTTTGTCTTTGTGTCAGGTATTACATACATCGAGAATATGTCTGTCTTCTCTCGGGATGATGCAATATCTTTCTCCAGAAATAACGACCCAATTACTTTAATTACCCACCAACCTTTTCATGAGCAGTTATATAGGGACTATTTTCCTTCTCCCCAACTTGCCGGCCAACCGTTTCACCGTGCATCTTACGATGTCCCAATCACGAGCCTCTCACCACAAGGAGACGCTCTGTGATACGGTAGGTGGCTGTAGTTATGTACAAAGAAAATGTTCCTCCTTTAAACTGCTCATAAAAAGGTCTGCGGATGATCTCAAGTAAATGAATTTTTCAAAGAGACATCAAAAGAAGACAGCCATCTTTACGACTGATACCTCCAAACCTGTGCACCTTAAACCTAGATCGATAAATACACAAGTAGGAGGACATATGCTGTTGTTTTGACTTTGGAGTGAACTGGCCCTAAAACATGATCAGTTCCTCGTTTTCTGAAACTTGCCCAGTACAATGTGCTGATCCAACTCCATCAGAGCTATGTCATAGTTCATAGGCAAAGCGTGATGGTACTTCTCGTGGACTGAGGCAGACTTGATGAGGAAGGCCTGCTTCTCTTCATCATCTACTCTCTGGTCGAACTCTCCCACCAGCACTCTCACTCCGCTGAGGAACTCTCTAGACAGAGGAGAAAACCTTTGCATTCATGACAGTCCACTGTGATATCCATAGACATGATGCACTTTGGACAGTAGCAGAGAATAAGTAAGAGAGTACTTTGAGTGTGAAGCCAAGCAGTGTGCAGCGGTCAGTATCCAGTGCTCAGTCAGGATGGCCCCCCCACAGAAGTGAGAGCCCCTGTACTGCAGGGACACCTGAGTAAGGACAACACAAAGCTTCTCAGCAGTTCAACAAGATCACAGCAAAACAAGATATTAAATTACATTTCATTTCATTTGCAAAGCTTCTTACAATAAGTGCAAAAAACCATAGAGATTCAAACCGAACAATAAGGAAAGTGCAGATATATTCACTTCAAGCAAGTCATACTATTGCTGCTGGTGCATTAGTTACAAGGCCTAAGCTAATTCTTTAAAGTGCTTTTTCTTTTTTTTAATTGCCAAGGAATAATCAAAATAGAAGGGTTTTCATTTTGCTTTGATATGCAGAGTTTCTGCTGTTCTGATATCAATGGGGAGCTCTTCCACCATTTAGGAGCCGGGATAGAAAACAGGCGTGTTGTTGAGGGGTACCTGGGTTCCACTCACAGAGATGTAGTAGCAGCCGATTGGCTGACGCGAAGCGTAGTGCACTTGCTGGAGTGTATGGTTTAACCAAGGCCTGGAAGAAGGAAGGGGCTGTTCCCTGATACACACATATTAACGCCTGATGCAAGAACAGTATCTGTGTGTAAGCAGTTCATTATTCAACTCCTTCTGAGTTCAGCAGCAGAGTTTGATGTATTAAAACCTCTTCGGCTTCTTGTTTTCCTCACACTAAATATAACACAATACACACAAACATTATGTGGCCCTGAGACGCATGGCAGACCTTTTAGGGGGTTTTCTATCTGTAAAAGAGGTTTCACTGAGTGTTTGTTGTCGTAATACTCATTCTTGCCACTAACTAACATTAACTCATCTGTTCCTAAATCATAAAGACAGGAGTAACAACTTCAAAAATGATTAACCAGAAAGAAGCAGATACTGACCAGCCATGGATGTGATCCGTATGTAGCCTGGGCCCCTCCAACCACCCTGAGGGAGGGCCCCATCCGGCTCCCAGGAGCAGGAACCCCACACTTCGAACCTGACACACAGGAGGAAATCTGTTCAGGCGTCATACGCTCAGTCCAGAGTCCTGGGACAGGAAGGATCCTTAAAGATCTGCTCCCCTGTTCAGTATCTGTGTCACTCACCAGCCGCATTGATGCCAGTGTTTAGCCAGAGCCAGAGAGACAGCAGAGAGGCCGGGCTCCTCATCTCGAACAGACACATCTGAGGGCCCCACTGGAAACACACTGCTTCATAGACCTGCTTGTGTTTGATACTTATTAACAAGCCCGTAAACTCCTGCAGTGGTTGTGGTGTTCGAACGACACAACAAAATGACCTGCAGTAATACTGAGTCAAAGTGTTGACACTCTCAAGGTCGACTGTGGGGGGGCGGCTGCCTGTCACTGTTGCATAAGTGAACACATGCTGACAGAGAAGAAAAGCATGAGGAATAAAAGTGATGGCTAACATGTCAGCTTAACAAGGAAACACTTTTTTTGATTTCCATTTTAGATAATAGACCATTGTTTAGCTTTGTGTGCGAGGTCACTGTCTCTGAGTGTGAGCAGTCATTATGAAAGGCTGACTTCTGAGGGAAAGCTTTACAGGAAACAGAGCCTTCAACACATTCACTTTATGGGGTGTGTCAGATTTTAGAAAATGTGTCATTGTGCTAAAAATAAAATGTAGGGAATAATAACAAGGAGGCGCGTGGCGCAATTGGTTGTGCGTTGGTGTTCGGATCATGGGGTCAAAGGTTCAAACCCCACTGCAGTCAGCATGTCGTTGTGTCCCTGAGACACTTCACCCCAAATTGCTCCTGTTGGGATTGCCCACAGTATTGAGTATGTAAGTCGCTTTGGATAAAAGCGTCTAACAAGTGACATGTCATGTAATGTAATGTAACTGATTGCTCTGGACAATTGATGGTACAAAAAGCTACAACACCGATATATTTTCACCATTGGAAGTTGTGACGAACTTCTTCAAAACTTGTGCGCGGAGAACTGCGCACAAGCCGAACTCATAAACCGAGGCCCCCTGCGCAATGTGAGGCCCCATGCAGCCTGCATGATCGGCCTGTAGGGAGGGATGGCCCTGCATGCGTGTGTTGCCAGGTGCTGCAGAGGAACACTGAGAAGACGCAGCATCAGGTGACCCTTATACTGAAAATAAACATGGAGAGGCATTCAATCAAAAGTCACTGCATTGTTTTGTCTGTGTAAAGCTGCAAAAGAAGAACAATAATCTATTGGGAACTAAGACCAAGGGACTCCATTTCCCAGGGTCTCTTATGGATGTCATAACCCTCCATCACTTCCTGCAGCCTGGTATCAAGAGGAAAAGCCTCAGTTTGTAGATGTCATTTATAGAATGTTAAACTCAAATTAAACAGTTTTGTGTTTTCCACAGAGTATTTTGTACGTCTTCAAACTTGTCTAAACAAGATCTTTAATTGAATACATCGTTATTTTGATTTACAGTAAATATTTGTATCTTGATTGTTTTCCTTTTCTCCTGGGAGAAATGTGTACCACTTTATATTCATGTAAGATAAATACATCTTTATTTATACTGCATTCATTTATTTTTATTTTGTTGCTTCTGAACTTGTTTTATCAACTTTTTTTGATCAATGTTCTGTTTTTATAGAGCTTTTTTGTATTCAACAGATCCAATGATAGATGGCAGAATATGAAACAAGCTGTGTTCTGCAGCTGCGCTGAGAATAAATCCTCAGGTGTGGAACTATACCCAGACACAATCGCAGCGTCAGGCTGCTTAGCAACCAGAGTCAAGGGAGGACAAGGGATCAAACACAGAAGCATCATGTGAACCTGTATCATGGACACCATTTTTATAACAAACTACATCAAACACATGAATATGAAAATCTGCCCCTAAAAAGAGGGAAAGCTGTGCCATGCAGAACAAGAAGGGGCATTACATCTTAATGCTGATCCACCAGGCCTGCACTCAGTGTGTGAAGTGAGGGCATACAGTATGTGGCATGCTGCACAGACCTCAGGTCAGCTGCAGACTCGGCTCCATCCTGCCGTCATTACGCTGGAGTATATAACTCAAATACAGTCAAAATAAATCAAAAGTTTAGAATCAGATGGATTAAAACACAGTTTATGACTTATGTTTGGTTTACAAACAAAAGAGCACCTATTGATTAAACTGTAATTTTTTGTTTCACATTGACCATGATTAGCAAAAACATCTGAGAGTAGACACAGTGACCAGTAGCTCAGAGCTGTTACAATGAACACATTTAAGAAAGAATGTAGACACAGCGCAGTCTGAATGCAGTTGCATGTTCAGAAAATCTACTTTAAATGACTATAGCACAGCTGGAGCATCTGTACACATACTGTGTTGACCAGGTAGACACCCCTTCAAAATAAAAGCCCTATCGATTTCCTTACAGGGAGTGCTGGAAGAGGGATGTTTTTTTCAAAAATAAAAGCCCTAGATTATCACTGTACCCCAACAAGATGCACAGGATAAGGATTTCCCCCCCAAATAAAAGCATTGAAGTGGGCGGAGCTGGATGGTATCATTGTCATAATGTGATGGTTTTTGCAACATTTCAAACAGAGATCTGATACATAATGCCAGGGTCAATTAAATGTGACTAGGCACACAGGCCGGATCCTGCAGGTTTCTGTTCATCTCTGAGATCATCACTATGGGATGTCTTCTTCACAACTTAAGGAGCTGTTTCACCTTAGTGTAATACACTCACTCTTTCCTGCCAAAAGTTAGAAGACAAAAACCAATACCTTTCATTTCTGTACAATAAATGTGTCGCTGCAGAAAATAAACACTTTGGCTCTGTCCAAATACATTAAAAAAACGACTTGTCAGCACATCCGCATAACGCTTATTAACTGATGACATGTTGCATCTCCTTGTGAACAGGACGTTGCAGTGGGGGATTTGAGCAGGTTTAGCGTTGCCGATAGGAACATCCGATTCATTATGATAGAGACAGGCTAGCAGTTAAAGCTCACCAATTATGCTCTATTTTATCAATAGGCCAATATAGGGCCATATCTATACAAAACATGTCTATGAAGTGTTTTGCTCAAAACACAAAACAGGTCACCCATTGTAGCATGCCTCATACCCCTCTATTTCAGCCCTTTTACTAAAGTGCTGATTCTGGGTCAGAAGCTACGGGGCCACACCCCTTTGGAGCACACATGCAGAGAGAAGCAGATTCTCAGCTAAACGCTGCCGTGATTAAACGCCATATTATGTTCCAAACCACATGGAGCATTATTTCTGAAACAGTATGGAGCTCAAACGCTTTCTCTATCGCGGGTTTACCACAAGGTGAGTACCTTTTTATATTTCCTGCTTCTTTACACATACTCTCTCCAGTACAGCGTTAGCGATGCTAATGTAAACAAAGACCATATTACTTCCAAAACACGTCATGCATTGTTTCTGATACAGCAACGTTTCTGATAGGGCCGTGGGCGTAAAGCCAGCTCTTATTTTAGTAATGTCGTCATGATGCAGCAAATCTGGATCAGCTCCGTTGTTCCCCCGTTTTTAGAGATGTGAGTAAGGAGGAAAAGAGACAGGGTTGTATTATCTGACACTTTGTGAGTTCCCTGACACACCGGGGACACATAGGATAGGAGACCTTTAACTCAGTTTTCACGTTTTACGCTAAGCTAAGATCCACAGCTGCTGATGCCAACTCTCAGCAAAAAGACAAAACGTGCATTTTCCAAAACATGAAATTATTCCTTTAACTTTGATTATTGCACATTCAGACTTGAATATTTCATCCATCCATCCATCCATCTTCTCCCGCTTATCCGTGGTCGGGTCGCGGAGGTAGCAGTTCCAGCAGAGAGCCCCAAACTTTCTTTTCCCTGGCCACATCAACCAGCTCTGACTGGGGGATCCCAAGGCGCTCCCAGGCCAGTGAAGAGATATAATCCCTCCATCTGGTTCTAGGTCTACCCCTTGGTCTCTTCCCAGCTGGACGTGCCTGGAACACCTCCCTAGGGAGGCGCCCAGGTGGCATCCTAACTAGGTGCCCCGAACCAGCCTGCAAAGCTGGGCGCCTGGGTCGACACGGAAGGAGGAGCGTGTTCAACTCCGAGTCCGCTCGGCGGAGAGGCGCGGGACGGCTCGGACC